GGCAGGTGCGCGTCCCCCGGCCCGAGCGGCGGCCTCTGGGCCGTGCGTAGAAGCCCGTGTGTCCCAAGCGGGCCTCTGTGTCCCCATTGTTTTGTTTCTTCTCTCTCTCTGCCGCTGGTTTTCTCTTTCATGCCATCTCCTGTCTTGAGCGGTCTCTCCTTCCTTCTTCCTCGGTCGCTCTTTCCCTGGGTGTCCCTCTATCCCTGTCTGTATCTTTTCCTGTGTCCTCACCTCTGTCCACCTGTGTCTATTACTGTCTCTCCGACCTTCTATTTTCTTCCCTTTGGCCATTGCTTTTTCAACAGCTTTATCGAGATGGGCTCAACATACCATACAATTCACCCCTTTAATGTGGACAATTCAGTGGTTTTTGGTGTAGTCACAAGGTTGTGCGACCATCGCCACTGTTTAATTTTAGAACATTTTCGTCATCCCCCCCCAAAGACACCCGGTACCCTTTAGCCATCACCCCCTACGCCCCCGTCCTTCTGCAGCCCCTGGAAACCGCTAACCTACTTTCTGTCTCCGTGGATGTCTCTGTTCTGGGCATTTCACACACGTGGCATCCCACACGATGTGGCCCTCTGTGTCCGGTTCTCTCACTGAGCGTCGTGTGTTCGGGGTCCGTCCACGTGTGCCAGTGTCGCTCCTCTTCGTGGCTGAGCGACATTCTGGTGGGTGGGTGGACCTCATCTTGTTACCCGTTCACCCATCGCTGGACGTTCGGGTTGGTCCCTCCTTTTCGACTGTTGCGAATAACGCTGGCGTGAACAGCCGTGAACAGGTGTTTGGGTGGCCGTTGTGCATCTCTGTCTCTCAGCCTCTCTTTCTGTTGGTCTCTGACTCTGTCTCCTTGTCCCCGGCTCCCTGGGCCTGGTCCGGACGGAGGGGTCCTGCCCCCTTCATCCTGCTCTCCCCGCTCCTGCAGCATTTCATGAAGCCCCTGCAACGGTTCCTCAAACCCCAAGACATTGAGATTATCTTCATCAACATCGAGGTGAGCTGGCCGGTCCCCAGCCCTCCCGGGCGTCTGTCCAGTGGGGACGACCTGCTGGCTCCACCTGTGCCTGGAGAGTGGGGGCTGGGAGTTGAGCACTGCAGGGTGGGCCTCCTGAACCCCAGCCCCCACTCCTTCCTCCGAGTAGGACCTGCTTCGTGTGCACACTCTCTTCCTAAAGGAGATGAAGGAAGTCCTGGGCACCCCAGGTGCGCCCACCCTCTACCAGGTGTTCATCAAATACAAGGAGAGGTGAGACCCAGCCGGCCAGCCCAGACCCCCGGAAGTCACCCCGTCCTGCCTGCGCCGGGCATTTGGACGACCTTGCCCTCAGAGGCTACCGGACAGGCAGGGCTGTTCCCTCTCTGCTCATGGGCAAGGGAAGGGACTGCCCACTTGTAGGTCAGTCCCCAGCTCTGCCTCTGCCGGGCTGTGTGGCACTGTAGACTCACTGAACCTCTCTGAGCATCTGCTGCCACATCTGTAAAATCAGCATGGCGCAGAATGTACCTCCCAGGGTGAGGATGAAATAAACGGATGCCTAAAGAGCTTGGCACAGGGCCTGGCACACAGTAGGTGCTCCGTAAGTGCTTGTTAGATGAGTGAACATTGAGGAGACAATATACCGAGTGCTAAGCGTGTCTTATGCATCATCTCCCTCCGATGCTTCAGTGGCTCCATGCGGGAGGTGCCATTGTCATGCCCATTTTACAGATGGGGAGACCGAGGCTCAGACCATCTGGGAAGAGGCGGGCCTGGACTGACACCCAGATTTGCCTGACCATGGTGCGGGCCACCATTACCCGGCCACCTGTCCTTCCCTCAGGTTCCTCGTCTACGGCCGCTACTGCAGCCAGGTGGAGTCAGCCAGCAAGCACCTGGACCATGTGGCCGCCGCCCGGGAGGATGTGCAAATGAAGCTGGAGGTGGGGCCCGGGCGCCATCTGGGGGGCTCTCTTACCCCTTCCCAGGCCCCAGGGGCAGTGGGGAGGAGACAGAGCTGGTGCTGCTACTTTCCACCGCAGCCCAGCCAGGGTTTGGGGTGGGAGGTACTGACCAGCTGAGTGGGAGAAAGGGAGCAGGAAGAGGTGGGCGGGAGCCCTGAGCCCTGACCCCCGCTGAACCCCGACTCTGGACTCAGTCCTGACCCCGAACTCAGCTCTGACTCCAGGCTAACCCCCAGTCCAGCCTGCGCTGAGTCCCAGCCTTGGCCGTGCCCCAAGTCTGGGCTGAGCCCCAACTCACACCGAGCCCTGATCCTGGGCTGAGCACCCCCCCCTCCCCTGCCCCGGAACCAGTGTATCTACAGGGCAGAAATGAGGACGGGCCACCTGCATGCACCGTCCATCCGGCCTCGTCGGTCTCCACTGTGGGGACCCTGCAGTCCTGTCCCCCGCTCCCTCCCCAGCTCCACTCAGCTCCTGGAATCCTGCCTCAGGCAGTGTTTGCCAGCCTTCCAGGAAATTCTTCCTTCACTATTTCCCCGATGATGCTTCAGGTTCTAGAAAAATCCACACCTGTCTCCACCTCATCGTGCTCATCTCTTTCTCTGACCCCCCCCCCAGGAATGTTCTCAGCGAGCAAACAACGGGAGGTTCACCTTGCGGGACCTGCTGATGGTGCCCATGCAGCGGGTGCTCAAGTATCACCTCCTTCTCCAGGTGCACAAGTGGGGGCCCCCAGGCAAGGGCTTGGTTTGTCTCCCTCTCCATGTCATAGGCGTGGGGGCAGAGCTGTCTTCCCGGGGCTGGGGCCTGGCACCCTCTGGGAGGAAGGAGGAAGCTGGCAGGCCAGGCTTGTCTGGAGGGTCCCCAAGAGGAGAGGGCAGGCCCAGGTGATGTCTGTCTCCATGGGCTGTGCAGGAGCTGGTCAAACACACGCAGGACGTGATGGAGAAGGAGAACTTGAGGCAGGCCCTGGACGCCATGAGGGTGAGTGGTCACACACAGGCGGTTACACGTTGGAGGCAGTGCAGCCCGGGGAACGCGGTCACACCCACGGGCAACCCCTCCTCTCATCAATGACCACACACCCATGTGACCAGTGAGTGATTCCTAGCGTCTCCTTGGGGACAGTACATGCGGGGATGCCCTTTCTACGCCTCCTGCCAGCCCCTGGTGGGGGGCTGACCCCCTACACCCAACCAGAGAGGGGATTGGCCAGGGTGGGGGGCCCAGGCTCACCCCTGCCCCACCCCCAGGACCTGGCACAGTGTGTGAATGAGGTCAAGCGGGACAACGAGACGTTACGGCAGATCACCAATTTCCAACTGTCCATCGAGAACCTGGTGAGGGGGCAGGGCAGGACGGGCCAGGGGTGTGGCCGCGGGGGTGGGGTGGGAGGGTGTTTGGCCTCCCCCTGGGTGGCCCCTTGCCAGACCCCCTTCCTGCTGCGTAGGACCAGTCTCTGGCCCACTATGGCCGGCCCAAGATCGATGGGGAGCTCAAGATCACCTCAGTGGAGAGGCGCTCCAAGATGGACCGGTAAGCAGAGCCAACAGATGCAGCAAAGAGCTGGAGCAGAGGCGGGGCAGGATTTCCAGTTACACCAGGGGGTGGGGCCTAGGTGGGCGGGCGGGGCGGGACCAGCGTGGACGTGTGGGTGGAGCCAAGACCAGCAGGTGCTGGGACCCGGAAGGACCTTATGGCCGAGGTCAGGATGGGTAGGCCAATCCTGCCAAGCTGGCCACAGAGGAGGAGAAGGGCGGGAGTCCTAGACGGACGGCCGGGTGCGGCCAGGAAGGTGGAGCTGGTGGGGAGGAGCTGGCCGAGGGGAGCCAGACGGAGGCCCCTGACCCAAGTTGCTCTCAGGTACGCCTTCCTGCTCGACAAAGCTCTGCTCATCTGCAAGCGCCGAGGGGACTCCTACGACCTCAAGAATGTTGTGGATCTGCAAAGCTTCCAGGTTCGAGATGATTCCTCTGGAGAGCGAGAAAACAAGAAGGTGGGGCTCCGAAGCCAGATCTGGGGTCCCCAGTGCTGGGAGAGCTGAGGCTCTGCACTCGAGCTTTAGAATGCCCGTGTGTGTGTGTGTGTGTGTGTGTGTGTGTGTAAGACACACATGGTCTTAGATTTGTGCACGTATGTTTGGTTCTCCCAGGCAGACCCTTACAAGGGTGCCCGCACCCAGTTTCTCCGAGGGGCAGAGAAGCTGTTACGAGGCTGACCCTTTCCTCCCCACAGGGGTAGGGGTGAAGAGGGTGTGTGGTCCCATCCTCTGCAGACTGGGTGTCTTCATTCTGAACCCTGTTCCCTGCAGTGGACTCACATGTTTCTCCTGATCGAGGACCAAGGTTCCCAGGGCTATGAGCTGTTCTTTAAGACACGAGAACTGAAGAAGAAGTGGCTGGAGCAGTTCGAGATGGCCATGTGAGACCCGCCTCCTCCCCCACCCCCGTCCTCAGAGGACTCTGCAGTGGACAGGGGCTGAGAGGCAGTTGTGCTCTGTTCCGTAGGGCCACTCTGAACCTCAGCCTCCCCATCTGCGAAATGGGAAGCATAGGCTTTTAATGCTGTCTGCGTCCTCAGAATGTCAGTGTTCTGTGTGTGAGCTTCAGCCGCCAGCCTGAACCCCTCTTCCTCCTCCTTTTTCTTCTTTTTCTTCTCCTCCTCCCCTTCCTCCCTCTCCCCCTCCTCCCACTCCTCTCCCTCCTTCTCTTCCTTCTTCTTCTCCTTCCGTTTATCCTTCCCCTTCCCTTTCCTCTCCTCCTTCCTCTTTTTCTTCTTAATGTTTGTTTTATTTATTTTGAGAGAGAGAGCAAGAGTGTGTGTGTGTGTGTGAGGGAGGGGCAGAGAGAGAGAGAAGGAGAGAGAGAATCCCAAGCAGGCTCTGCACTGTCAGCACAGAGCCCGAAGAGGGGCTCAGTCTCACAAACGGTGAGATCGTGACCTGAGCCGAAATCAAGAGTCGGATGCTAACCTGACTGAGCCCCCCAGGCTCCCTTTCTTCGTCTTCTTGAGATGAAGCTCACGTGACAAAAATTTCGCTATTTTAAAGTGTATGATTCAATGGCATTTAGTGCCTTACGATATCGTGTAACCACCACCTCTAAGTTCCAAAACATTTTCATCCCCCCAAAAGGAAACCCTGCACCCATGTAGTACTCAGTCCCCATTTCCCCTGCTCCCAGCCCCTGGCAACCACCGGTCTGCTCTCTGTCTCCACCCAAATGCCCATCAGTGGAGGGCTGGAGACATGGCTTCTGGTTTATGTATGGCTGCCCCGATACGTCCAAAGGGCAGCACGTGTTGGTACTTCATTCCCTTGTGCGGCTGAATACTGTTCCGTCATGGGGAATTCTCTCCCCTCTCCAGCTCCAACATCTACCCTGAGAACGCTACTGCCAACGGGCACGACTTCCAAATGTTCTCCTTTGAGGAGACCACGTCGTGCAAGGCTTGCCAGATGCTGCTGAGGTAGGGGTCTGGGGGGATGGGCCCGGGGCCTGGGTGCGGTCAGCTCGTCCCCCTCAGAGGGGCTTCTCTGGCTGTCTGTCCCCTGGGTTGGGAGGTGGGAGGCTCTCCCTTGGGCTTCCGCTTCTGCATCTCTCTCTTGCCCTGAAGGGAACCCAAGGGCACCCTTCACGTTGTTGGCAAAATGATCGGCTGTGTCCAGTCAACATCACTGACGTCCCTTAATCTCCCCTTGGCATCCCAGAGGCACTTTCTATCAGGGTTACCGTTGTCATCGGTGCCGGGCACCTGCACACAAGGAGTGTCTGGGAAGGGTCCCTCCATGTGGCCGACATGGGCAAGGTACCAGTGGGAGAGACTGGGGCAGATGGGCTTGGTCCTGTGGGGGGGATTTCCATGCTAACTATTTCCTTCCCCGCCCCCCATAGATTTTTCAGGAACTATGAAGAAGGTAAGACCCCCATTCTCCTTTCTCTGTATGAGAAATCATGGGGGATAAGGAAGGGTGACCCAGGAGACCCCAGCAGTGGGCATGGCCCTTTGCTGGGTGCTCACATAGGAGCTGAGGGGGCCCCAGGCTGGGCCTGGGGAGCCACACTTGCAGTTTCGCTGTCTCCCTCCAGGATAAGCCACATCGCCGACCTCAGGACAAAAAGCGGAATGACCTGGGTGAGTCTGAGGTGGGGTGGGCGTTGTGTGGGGCAGGAGGAAGCCTGGTCTCTGCCCCAGATCTCAACAGTTATATTAACGATCACATAAGGTCCTGCTTGTAAAACTGTGAGCCATTGGTTGCAGTCCTAGAAAACCGAAAGGAATTTAAAGATAACCAACTGGGGGCGCCCGGGTGGCTCAGTCGGTTGAGCGTCCGACTTTGGCTCAGGTCACGATCTCGTGGTTGGTGGGTTCGAGCCCCGCATCGGGCTCTGTGCCGACAGCTCGGAGCCCGGAGCCTGCTTCGGATTCTGTGTCTCTGCCCCTCCCCTGCTCATGCTGTCTCCCTCTCTCTCTCAAAAATAAATAACATTAAAAAAACTTTAAAAATGACCCAAATTATTTACTTGCTTTGCTCAAACACTAGGAAGAGAAGGCATGGGGCAGTAGCCATCCTTGCAAAGGTGCTCTTTATCTTACCATCCAATTTCTCCTCTTCACTGCCTCTTTTTCCTTGCTTTCCAACGCGGCACACCTCTGGTGGTCCTTACCTCCTCTCCTCTTGATTCTGTGCCACAGAATCTTATCATGATGTATAGTTTCAGCAGAGTGCCCTCCCCTCGAGGATGGGGAAGTGGAGGGCACAGATTCATTTTAGCCCAATGGCAGGGGGGAAAGGCTGGACTCATTCCTATGTTGACGAATTTTGTGGCATCACAGCAGTGATGGGTGCCTTGTGTTCAATATCTACTGTATACGTGGTCACATCTAGGGCCTCTCATCCTCCAGAAGCTCTGAGACCAGTGGTGAGGGAGAGAATTTTAAGACATTACCTTGTAGTGGGCGGACTAGAAGGTTCTCTGGAACATTGAACCTGGGGGACTTGACAGATCTGAGCCCTCAGGGAAGCCTTCTCAGAGGAGGAGACATTTAGGCAGACATTTGATGGATGAGAGGGTTAGGCAGGTGAGGAGGAGGGCAGGGGTGTTCCAGGCAGAGGGAATGGCATGCGCAAAGGCTGGGAGGCAGGGAAGCCAGGCAGCATTAAACACGTGAGAACAGTTTGGTGTGGCTGAGGAAGTAAAACCTTTGCTCATAATAACACAGAGTCAGTGTGCAGGCTCAGATTTCATATCTATCTATCCGTGTCTATGTATATTCATATATAGATGTCAATGTACAAAGATCTATAGATATCTATAATCTGTGTCTATAGATAGATATAGATATCTCAGCTTTATTTGAAATAATAAAAAATTAGAAACAAATGATTCAATAAGAAGAATGTATATATAATTATACGTAGATTTATATGCATTGTATAATCCGTTTTATACAAAAGTGTATGTCAGCTTTATTTGTCAAAAACCAGAAACAACCCAAATGTCCTCAATAGAGGGAAATATTTATGTGTGTGTGTGTGTGTGTGTGTGTGTGTG